AAAAAAAAAATATGAAGGAGTCTGAACTGGATGATAGCCAAACAATAATGATCATCTGAATAGGTAAATATAGAATATATATATATATATATATATATATATATATATATAATGGACTCTCTCGTTGGTTTTGATGTGAAGATCTGACAGCTTAATTAATTCAGTTATGAAATTTTAGTGATAATCTTATGGCACTTAAGACCCGCTTATAGTGATTTACAAAGGAGGCCACATATAGAGCAAATGTGGAGATTGTCAGATGAGATCATCATGATTGGTTGACCTTTAGGGGAGATCTTGTTTTGCTTCTTGGAAGATGATTCAGACAAGTAGATTGAAACTGCTGGAGTTCACTAAAAATGCTGATCTCCATTCTACCCACTCCAAGGCTAAGCTACCAAAAAATACATTTTAGAGGAAGAATCCATGTGCTTTTGTATTTAAAATAGATAGGTTGGTTAATAAAACAAGGGAAAACGAAAAGGTACCAATGTGATCAGTGCAAAACACATTTATTATATAATTGTTAATCACAAGACAGAAATGAAGCATGGAGATTAATGTTATTAGTCAAGAATTTTTGGGCACACCTATGTCCTTCATCAGCGGTGTGAGAAATATATATATAAATCTGTGGTAATTAATCCAAGTGAATCTTAGTAATATGAAATATTAAAACTGATCCACAGAAGAGAGCTCACCGTATTTCTTATAGAACATATAAATTACATGTAGGTAAAATTCAATTCCATATGATATATAGCCACTTTAATCCTGAACAAAAGCTTTTTCAACACTAAACAGATTGCAAAATGTGAAATCTGGGGTTACATACAAACTACTATCCATGAAAGTGTATATGTGAACTTCTATCATGGATATTGAGTACTTTACACTCAATAACATATATATATATATATATATATATATATATATATATATATATATATAAATAAAATAAAAATATAGTTTCAAGGTATGCTATATTTTTGTTAAAAGTGCTTGATATCAAGGATAGAGTTTGTGTAAATATGTGTGGATATGAAGGTCAACATTCAGGTGACAGTCTGTTTCATGCTTAGACACAATTGTCAGGTCATGCTGATTGCATTTACATAAAATGCACTGTTGTTGCTGGGTGTTGACTTTTAATGCTACTTTTATGTGTGTGTGTTTATATATATATATATATATATATATATATATATATCCAAACGAACGTGTCTGGGTCCACTGTGCCTCAATTGGTTAAGGCAACGTCAGGCTATACGACGGTTCTGTATAGGATACAGATTGATTACTTAGAGGATGAATATTTTCTATGAAAATTTCTCGAACATTCAGACTGGTAAATGTTATTAATACTGTTTATTATAAATGGAGCATTGCATTCAAATATTTGTATCTATAAAAAGAATGTATAAACATAAAAATGTCTTAAAAATAATTGTCAGACTTTGTCCATTTCATAATGTGTGACGTCATTTGTTTACATTTGGATACCCTTTGAGCAGTAAAATTGACCTTCCTAACCAAACGACCCTCTGTGGCTCAATCAGTTAAGGCACATCAGGTTGTATGACGGTCCCGTATTGGATACAGGTTCGATTCCTGTCAGAGAACGAATATTTTCTATGAAAATTTCAAACATTCAGGCTGGTAAATGTTATTAATACTGTTTATTATAAACAGAGCATTTACTTAAATATTTGTATCTATAAAAAGAATGTATAAACAAAAATGTCTTATATATATATATAAAAATTCCAAGAGGATAGTATCCATGTCCAGGACAGAGTAAGAATATAATTTATTACATTGGAATCGTAATCATCCGACCTGCAAATATTTGTAGGTCTGATGAATTGGATTGTGATTACGATTCCAATCTAATAAATTATAACCATGGAATATTAGTGTTTGAGTTTTTATATTATATATATATATATATATATATATATATATATATATATATATATATATATATTCTTTGGTTATGTGGATAATCTTGAGGTGTCACTAAAAAATGTATATCCAGGTAAAAAAAACCTAGTAGAGAACTCAATTTATGAGTAATATAATTAAGAATAATTTCAAAGAAAAAAACCCCTACATTTGAATTTTACAGTTATAAACTTAAATTTATTTCAGACAGTAGCTTTACAGTGCATCTTCAGACTGGTTTAAATGCAACAAACACAGGAAATAAATTGATTTAAAAAAGAAAGACAAGAAGGAAAGAAAAAAAAATTGTGGTGGGAGGATAAATAAGATGAACAGGTAAAAATGAAAACACAAGGTAGAGGAAGATATCTTGTTGGATGAAGGGGCGTGGGGTGAGTTTTTAACAAAACTGTAGTGGTATTGACGGCATAAACCAACCCGCACATTTTTTTACTTTATGAATGTGTAAGAAAACAAAAAGCAAACAAGAGAAAAAACAAGAAAACAACTTTTCATAACAGGTACAATATTTATATTTATAAATGACAACAGTTTT